GCTCTAACTCAAGCGTGACTTAAGACTGTTTCATTGGTTTAATTATTATAGAATCCCGGATCTCCGGGTTCCGTCAATGTATTCAGCCGTACATTCGGAACACGTCATTGCGTATTCCATGAAGCGGAACCGGATGTACATCTCAAAATTTGTTTGAACAAACGTAAAAGCAATAAAAAATACAATAACTCTTTCAGGTGAGCAGTATTGAAATAGCTTACTTTAAAAACATTGTCATTCATTTGTACTTTTGAAACTTCACGCTGTCGCAAACAATACAAGAATAAAACTAAAAATCACTGATATACAAATAAAAACAAATAACAAATCTATGACATTATGTTGTCAAATCACAATCGTTTAATGATTGAGCTTGAATACGAGCACACCTTCCAAGACAATGTTCACCTTTGTACAGGTATTATAGTTGCCAGGGGAACTCAGTATAACATAGTTCTATGCACAGGACATGTGTATTGTTCAATACAACAAGAAAACACAGTACACTGGGAGATTAGTTGTGCGGAGAGTAACATCATTGTAACAATGCCAACTTGGATTACGTTGTCTAAACGATGCATGGTTCATTTGCATATGTTTGATTAATTCAAGTAGTAAAATGTTTATTATACATTCAACAATGTATGGTCTAACCGCATTATTTGTATCGAACTTTGTCGTCAAATGATTTCCAATAGAATAAAACGCACATTTTCAAGTTATCTTTCATAACAGAACTTACTATTATATTTGAATGACAATTTTAGGAGGGTAGCAATCGGTAAAATATTTGTTAATATATGGATATCGTTGTAATTGAAATAATAGTGTTTTAATGACTTTTCTTTTTTCTTAAGGTTGCTGTTTAAAGAAACGGATTACAGTATTTTGCAGATTGCAGAATGAAAGTCATTTTATTTTTTGTGTTAGGTAAGAAAAACATGAAATGTTTACAACGTGTTGGTAGAATGTCATCGATAATTAATAATAATGAATATCATATGAAAGTATAATGTTGTAGCACATATGTATATGAATAAATTTTAAGGCAGCTCAATTATATATTGCAAATACTGAGATGTAATTATGTGTTTGATATATTTACACATGTCACTACGCCATACGTGTAATAATATATTATTTCTACCATAGCCATAGTGTGCCCATCTATAGCATTGGAGTGTTATAGTTGTACAACACTTGCCGGGTTGAACCCATACTGCCAGACTGATTTCCGCTACGATACCATATCATGTGATATATATGATTATAATGACCCTAGGTGTGCGGTAAGTTTGCTAATATTTCTAACATAAAAAATAGCAAACATTTGATGAAATAATGAAATGTTGAATTATTTCGTGTTTTTTTTTTGTGTATATAAATATATATATAGAGAAAAAGACAATAGTGAGTCATTTGGTATTTAAGGTCTTGAAACTCTTTTCTTACAGGTGAGCAACATAATTAATAATGGGGAGGTTACTCTGTTTACTCGTGCATGTATCGATCGAAGTTGGTGTGACGCATATGAAGGTTCTCAGACAGCAGGAGGTGGGTTTATTACAAATGTTAACACATATAAGTTGTTAATTATGTTTACAATCACAATCAATTGATCTGCGTAAAACAATTTCCAATAGCAAAACGAAAATAGTATATGGTGGTGGAGTCCCTGATGTCATTCAGAATAAGCCAGTATTTGTTATGTGCAATGGAACCATATGAGGACAGCTTCGTTTCTCGTTTATCAGAGCATTGCCTATTAAAGCAGAGTTCATCCCATTAATGTCTAAAATTCGACAAACCTAGTATGTTTACTATCTCCTGTGATACTTCTTTTGCGGTCGGCTCTTCAGAAGATGTAACGTCGATCAAATTAGTCAGATATATTTCATTATTAATTGGGATTCCCACCGCCGTAATAATGTCGAACATTGTTTTGACAAATTTTTTGTCGTTATCTATCAATAAAATTTATTATGGTCCGAGTTTGAACGTCGACTCATCGTGGATGTGGACAGCAGTTCTAGTACTGTTTGTCTCATTGATGCTTTCTACAAAAACGGGAACGACGAACATTATTGAAGTTTCGTTCTCATGAGTTTTCTCAATTTCGCGTGGAAACGGTAAACGTCACTTATTGTTTTCTGGTAAATTTAGTTGTAATCTACTGTGGTAAAAAAAAATCTGATATTTATTGCGACAAATGTTTGTTATTATACAATACTTTTATCGAATGTAGCCATAAGTAAACAATAGTCGCGGACAGTCCTTTGTGCAGCTAAATTAATTTTTATTTTACGTATAAGTCGGGAAGCTACGCTTTAATAAAATAAGATTTCAATGGTGTCATGCAACCAACAATGATATGTTATGTAACATAATGTATTCAACCAATAAAGTTAGTGTTTAATTCAACCCATAGTAGATATATAGAGGTAAATAAAACAATATTCATATCGATATTGGTGGACTTTGTTACCGCGTGTTACAATACAATAATTGTGTGTAATCTATTGGTGTATTTTTTCACAGATTTGACCGTCTATAATACTTGTTGCAACACTGATTTTTGTAACGATGGTATGAGTAGTGGCGGTGGTAATAATGGTGGACATGATGATGGTAATCGATATTATTGGAATTCTGCAACAATTATTTCAGAGAATTACAAGCTCAGTGGTATGATCTTGCTGTTGATGCGTTTCATATTTTGAAATATCAATGTACGTAAATAACGCCCCCATGCGGCCATACTGATATGCATGTATTGTGTCACACTTTTTCCAATATAATAAAGTATAACATTATCCAAGATTGCTGGTAATTACTGGTAGTTGGTATCAGATATATAACGCATTGTAAATTTCAAACGTGACTGGTACTTGACATATTCAGAAAATATTATGTAAGCGATTGTAGATGTAGTGTAAGAGCTTTTTATAAATGTGTTTATTATTAATATGTTTGTATTGCTAGAGGTTGCATATAATACAGTGTATATTGTGCTTAACAAATGTTCAATATTTTATTGTAAATAAAAATTGCCCAAATGTGTAAGTTAGTTATTTCGGAGAGTTGACCGTCAATTAACTGAACAAGTTAAGTATGCCTGTATAGACAGGCAACGTTAACACTAATTTCATCTCTGAAGGCAACAGTCTTATTTGAGTAGAAACAAATGCGATCATCAAAAGCTAAAGAACGTAAATTGTATTATCTGGATATGGTTCGACGTCACTATTATCGGAGAATGCCAGTTGTACTTCAACCCTATTAGAACAATAACCCAATTTATGGCACTATGGACTTATAAATAGTACTACTTCACACAACTGCTTAATATTTTGCTGGACAAAATTCATATAACAAATAATTTTCAGCTTGACGATAACGCACATGCTTCAATATAGCAATGACACTGCGGTTTGCAATATTGTTTGTTACTTGGCATTAGTCTGAGTGATACTTAATAATATAGCTTAGTTGAAATATGACGCTACAAAATTATGGTTAATGTTCTTGGCATGCGATATTAAACAATTTAATATAGAATCTTGCACACCGGCGGAAATAACACAATTTGTTTATCAGATAATGAGCAAATTTGATTCCCTGACCTCAAACATTTAACATCTCATTAAAATTTGTACTCACTCATTCCATAAACAAAAATGATAGCAGACAATCACTAACACGCAACAAGACGCATTTATCATCAGACCAAAATAAAATACTGCAGCGTAACTACAGCGCAGGTAATTATATTGCGTCAATGTGACTAAACCAATTTCATCATGTGGTGACAGGTCATATCGCGTAAAAGCGTTTCAAAAATTCCTTTGCTATAAGCATAAAACTATTTTGAAAATTTATCTCATGATATATATATTAAATGATCAAAATCTGAATAATTAGAACACATTCAACTCAAAATTTTCAAAACAAACTCTTTAAAGAATATACCTCTCAAAAATAGTCAAACCTTATTTGAATAGAATTCATTCATAAATCTGTGACAGATTACAATGGAAGCCATCCAATCATGTGCAGCGTTACAGAAACAACTATCATGTTACACTTCCCAAAAATTGTTGGTACAGTGTGCAAGCAAAAAATACAATATATACAATACCTGTTACTTCAATATGGAATGGTATAATGCTATAACGGAAGACTGTTTTTGGCAGCTATTTATTTATTTATTTATTTATTTATTTATTTAATTTATTTAATGTATTTAATGTATTTAATTTATTTATTTATTTATTTATGTTCGTCATCACAGTAGAAAATAAATTATAGGTGTTCCACCTTGCATCTTGAGTAGTTGCCTTTACTGGAATGTCGGGTATTTTCAAACCCCTTTAATTGCAGGATTCGATAGGACAACTACTTAGAGAGAATATGCAATCATGTCTGCTAACATTTCATTCAACTCAGGAGAACGGTGATTGAATCTCTAAACGACAACGAAAATCAACGACAGGGTTTGAATCCTGGGTTAGAGCGTGTCGTTGTCGATTTAGACCGAAACCTGATTGAGTCGTTATTTGACTTGTACGTCACTACGTTCAGCAATTATTATGTAACCGGTAGTAATGTACATTACAATTCTGCTATGGCCTGTGTGTATTTATTACATTAACATATTTGCTCTACTGGTCTTTAGTAGTTTTAGAGATTTCATGCAATATTATTCACCAAAGATGCAAATATACCGCCATCCTTCCTCAACAGATTCTGTGGCGTATCGTATTCAGCAATTTCACCATCATTTAATACCAATACCCTGTCAGAGTTAAGAATTGTAGGTATGCGATGCTGTGAAAACACAAGAAACAAGAAGTCAATTTATGTGCTAAGGGATTATATATATGGTCAACATTTTGTCGTAACCGAAATGGTACAGAACATATTGCGTGTACATATACAAATAGGATATAAATACTAAAACATGAATTTGTTTTCACTGATATGTACGGCATGGCTACGACTCTAAGCATTACTTACAGCTATAGTAAGAACTGTGTTATCACCAAATGATGTAGCAATGACATGCTGCAAGCTGACATCCTGTGGATATATTGAAGTGCAGGTTAATCAGGGGAGAACTTCTTAATACAATAAGGTTTATGTTTCCTGTTCAGCACGAATATCTTGTTTTATCAATAGCTGAACAGAAACGTACACAAATCAGAGTATTTAGTCAAAACTAATTGATAAATTTGCGGTAGGTAGTAACACTATTGGATACTTGTTGTTTATTGTTGTTGTAACTTACAGTGTGTGGGTCGATTGATGCGGTGGCTTCGTCCATAATCAAGATAGAACATTTGCGCAGAAACGTCCTCGCCAGACAAAAGAACTGTCTCTGTCCAGCACTGAAATTGTTGCCCCCTTCTTGGACTATAGCATCTGGAAGACATGCATTACAATTACAAAATGAATCATGCTATTTGGAAGTACTATTATGTATGTCCATGTTTTCTCACGAATGGCGAACGACAAACATTTCATATTTGTATGCATAATACCAATTACCTAATTGTCCTTCCAGCTCAACAACACAGTCTTTTACATGCGCCATCTCGAGGGCATTCCATAAATCCTGATCGTTATGTTCACCAGTCGGATCTAGGTTAAATCTAATGACAGGATTTATTTTTCAGTAAAAACACAACCGATGAATCTTGTTTTTGAGTATCTTGTACAGTAAAAATAATTCACGTTAATTATAATCGACTGGATCACACGTGTCTCTCAATTTGCTGATGCAAAGTTGTTTTTTTGTGTAATTAGATTAAGGGTTTATAGAATATTTGATTATCAGTATTCTACTAACAATATGTTATATAATTATTATCTAGGGTATTTAAAGAAGAATACTATTTACATTGCATTACTAATCTGAATAGATGTTTATGGTGCCTTTCGTCGGGAGTAATTTAAGACAAAATCATGTTAAACAAAACAATCACGGGGAGATAATTAGACATGGGATCAGGTGATTTAAAGATCTGAAACTGGTGCAATCTAGTAACAAACGCTAATACATATGCAAATTACAGGCCCGTAGTTTGGGGGAACCCCCTAAATTTTGTAAGTGAATAGAATTATGATCGTAGATTAGAACATAATGAACAGTATTAATTAAAATATTTGTCATCGTTTAAATCACTTGACTCAGTGAGGTAACTATCAGACTCAGCCGAAATTGTATAATAATTACGGATTTTAAATGTCAAGGGTGAAGTTACGCCGTTTCAGCTCAACAGCAGCAAATAAAAAAGTTGTTTTAAATGGGCAAGCTTTTATTCGGTGATTCCGCTCGGGTGCAATGAAGATCGCGTTCAAGCAGCTAATGTTAGATATTAAAACAACATTGAAACAATAATGTAATGGTAGTCATTCATTGAAGGATGTGTTGCCGTTTGTCTTATGCTCGTGTTCGCTCAATTACTAAAGTATGGGGATCGAACGGGATTGATACGACAACACGACACAGTACTTTCCTAATTTGGTTCATTAGTTTTGTTTTCTTCAAGATAATGATGGCATAAATACTGTTTTGTTATGTGTATCAGCCAAATGTAGTCAACTTATTGTATTAGTGCGTGTAGCCTGTGTTATTGGACAATAGTGTACAGCTACGGGTTAAACAGATCATTAAAAAAATGATTTAAGAAAGATTAATCATCACATCTTGCAGCCAACAATTTACCCCACAGTGTTGCTTCAGCACTGAAACTGTGCGATGAATCATATTTTTCAAACATATTTTTTACACGTTTTTTTTTGTGATGTCTTAAAAAATTTATTATATTTTTAGTGGGTTCATACAAAACAGATGTAGTCATTGAAGTCTAGTGAGACCGCTGCTAAACTGCCACTGTATGCATATTATTTTACCGTCCTCTAAAAACAGATTTACAATGAACCAACAAATTTACATACTGTAAGAAACTTGGTAGTATGCCATTGGTTAGTGCATTTAATTTGTTTGATGCAATCATTGTGCCAGCTATTTCTTATGGTAGGGATATGGGTGATACTTCGGAAATCGAGAGGGTACAGACAACATTTTGCAGATATCTACCTAGCGTTAATAGTTGCGCAAACAATGTAGCGATGTTGGACGAATGTGGAAGGTTGCCATTATGCAGTGGATATTTCAAGCGCTGTATCTCATATTGGTTAAAATTACTTGAAGTAAAAATAGCTGGAACCCCACAGCATGTTATATCATTCTTAAACGATTGGACAAGACCAGCAGACTTACTTGGAAAACCCACATAAAAATCTCCTGTTCAAATATGGTTTCGGCATTGTCTGGCTTGAAAAACAAGTTAGAGATACTGCAAAATTCTTAGAGATATTTACTCAAAGAATAAAAAATTGTTGTCAGCAAA